GAAACCCTACACCATTTCGGACAAATGGCTGTCCAGTCTCTTCTTAAAAACTTCCAGTGTTGGAGCCTTCAACCGCTTCTGGAGGCAGGTTGTTCCACTGGTTAATTGTTCTGTCAGGAAGTTTCTCCTTATTTCTCCTTATTATTAATCAGACCTGATATGTCCTATATCTGCCATCTGATACTATCTGTTATTTATTAGTGTCATAGTTCTTAAAGATATATCTTGCTGTTTTTAGCTTTCAGGTACTCTTATTGTTTTTATTATCATTATTGTTTTAGATTAAGTGTTGGTTTACCAGTAGTTTTCATTTTCTACAATTGGAAATTTATAAACTTTTATTGTTTTGTGCTCCACAGTAACCGTGATTTTTATGTTCTATGCCACTGTTGCACAATGTTGTACTTACTGCCTACATAGCTTAGAGGCCAATAACAGGCCCACATAGTTGTTAATTTGCTGCTACCTGGGTAGCCAGCCTACATTTTTATCAAGCTTGTCAAGGTTAAAATAAACTCGGTTGCAGAATCGTTGCTTCTCTTCTCATTTCTAGCCAGGTATGTTGGTTCCTCCAGTTGTAGTAACTTTGGTTATCTACCGAGAACAGGCTTGCAAATCTCTGGTCTCTTTCGCAGTATCATTTTACTATTTTATTTATTTATCAAATTCCTTTGTCGTCCATGTCGCTGATGAAAGACAACGTGCAACCTATTTTAACCTCTATCCTTACGCGAACAGCAAAAAGCATTTTCCCCTCTCCCGCTCTGGACTAGAAGCTTCTTTGCTCCCGTTGCTAAGTTCAAACAGTTGGTTACCAACTGGGCTTTTGGGGGATGGTGGTACCTTGAAGCCAATCTTAATTCTTTTTATACAGGCCTCACATCTTTATTTTAGCATTTTCCGTTTCATCTTCATCATATCCAGGCAGACACTCCTCAGTTTGTCTGCTTGGCCTAGGTGGATGTTATTTCTTTCAGGATCTGTTTTTTTAGACTTCTAGCTGACCAGTGTGGAATTCCACTGTACCTACCTATCTGGATTAATCAGGGCCACCCTATTAGCTTTTGAGATCAGCCAAGGTAAGCCCAGTGGTTTCTTTAAAAATAAACACATGGGGACTGCAGCTATGAAATTAAAAGACGCTTGCTCCTGGGGAGGAAAGCTATGGCAAATCTAGATGGCATACTAAAAAGCAGAGACATCACCCTGCCAACAAAAGTGCGTATAGTCAAGGCCATGGTTTTCCCAGTTGCAATGTATGGCTGTGAAAGTTGGACCGTAAGAAAGGCTGAGCGCCAAAGAATGGAGGCCTTTGAACTATGGTGCTGGAGAAGACTCCTGCGAGTCCCCTGACCTGCAAGGCGATCCAACTGGTCAGTCCTAGAGATCAACCCCGGCTGCTCTTTAGAAGGCCAGATCCTGAAGTTGAAACTCAAGTACTTTGGCCACCTAATGAGAAGGAAAGACTCACTGGAGAAGAGCCTAATGCTGGGAAAGATTGAGGGCAAGAGAAGAAGGGGAAGACAGAGAATGAGGTGGCTGGATGGATCACTGAAGCAGTAGGCGTGAGCTTAAATGGACTCCAGAAGATGGTAGAGGACAGGAAGGCCTGGAGGAACGTGGTCCATGGGGTCGCGATGGGTCGGACACGACTTCGCAACTAACAACAGCAAGAGCATCTATGGCATCTCAAGGGATGCCAACTGGTCAAAAACATGTCCCCATGTCTGCCAGTTTAAGGGCAGAGCACTTACCTCTATTGTGAGTCTTTATATGGTGTCAAACACCCTTTTGTCTTGGGTCCTTGCTGCAGTTGGTGGTCTGGCAGGGTGACGTGCCCAGCCAGGGGAGAGGCTGGGTTTAGGCAAAGGACATGAATTTTTAGGAAAGCTAGAGAACTCAGCACAAGACCAAAAGCAGATACGCAGAAGACTGCTAGGAGGCACCCGTAACGTGGAATGCCAATGAGATAAAATATTAAAAAAAGAAAGGAAAAGCAGTGCATAGAGGAGTGATATTTCAGTACTTGGGTTCTTGCAAGTCCCAGTTGAGAACCGGTTTGTGTAGTGGTGAAGGCAACAAACTAGAAACTGGGGGACTGAGTTCTAGCCCTGCCTCGGGCACAAAGCCAGGTGGGTGACCTTGGGCCAGTCCCTCTCTCTCAGCCCTAAGGAGGAGGAAATGGCAAACCACTTTTTTGCCAAGAAAACCGCAGGGACTTGTCCAGGCAATCTCGCAGAAGCAAACATGATTGAACAGAAGGAAAAGAAAACCAATAAAATCGTTTAGCTATGTTGGCTGGGAGTTACAAAACTGAGAGCCCGACCCAGAAAGCGGTGGGGACTTGGAAACAGCTTGTCCATTTTTCCTGGAACATCAACTTGGATGCTGCTGGAAGAGAGCACTGGAGGTCTGGCACTTTCAGTTGATTCTAGCATTTTTTTTTTTAAAGAGACAGCCAGTTTAGTATAGTGATGAAGGCCTAGAAACCACGAGAGTGGGAGTTCTAGTTAGTCCAGTGATGGTGAACCTTTTAGAGACCGAGTGCCCAAACTGAAACCCAAAATCCACTTATGTATCATCAGGTGCTGGGTGGGTGTGGCCCATTGGGTGGGCGTGGCTGCGGTGGTAATGGCAGACTGGGTGGCACTAAAAGGTTCAATCAATTCCAACTTTGCAAGATCGTTTTTTTCCCCGCGAGAAGCTGAAATTGATTGATTGATTGAACCTTTTTTTTTTTTTGCATATGGTGGCGGAGGCCTAAAGCAAAAAGGTTTTATAAAACCCAGCTGAAGGCCTAGGACTGGGGCGACGGTGCGTGTGCCCACAGAGAGGGCTCTGCGAGCCACCTGTGGCACCCGTGCCATAGCTTCGCCACCACGGTTCTAGTCCCACCTTAGGTGTGTAAGCTGGCTGGGTGGCGTCGGGCCAGTCCTCCTCTCTCTGCCCAACCCGTCTCACGAGGCTTTTGTGGGGAAAAAAAGAGTACTGCGAAAAAAAGAGCAAGGAGTACTGCGTCTGTTCGCCACCTGGAGTTACAAACGGGATAAAAAATAAAATAAAATCTAGCAAATCCCTTTAAACTTTCAAAAGTTTGGAGTGGTGGATCAGCAGAGATGTGTGTCCCCCACCCCCGATGAACAAAAGGACAGCCAGGCGCTCACAACAAGACAAATCACTTTTATTTACTGAACTGGAAAACACCAGGAGAACAACTCAAGGCCACAGTTTCACAGGCTGAACCATTCTCCAACTCAAGAACACGGCACTGCAATAGTGACCAGCTGCATGCAAGAGCTCACATGCTGAAGAACACGGAGAAGCAAACATCCACAATCCAGAGAGTCTAAATCCCGCTTTGATACGTTGGCCCTAGGAAACCCCCCCTCCCCGTTCTTCTTCTAACAGGGATGCTGCTTCCATCCTCTTTAGTGCCCAGCCTCCCTCCTCGACCCGGCCCTTATGGCTGGGGCAGGAGAGGGAGGGCAAAAAAAGGAGTATTTGCCCACCTGCCCGGACTGCTCACCATTTCTCTGTAGGACCATTTCTTAAGGAAAAAAAACCAACCCAAATTCTTATCCTACTTTTCATTGATAAAACAGTCCCAAGCAGAGGAGGAGCATCAGGATTGCTTTCAATGCATATTTTCACGATTGCTCTTGGTTCAGATCAGTGCTTTTCAAACTTGGCACGTTTAAGGAGGGTGGAGTTTGACTCCCAGAATTCCCCAGCCAGCATGGCTGGCTGGGGAATTCTGGGAGTCAAACTCCACCCTCCTTAAACGTGCCTAGTTTGAAAAAAACACAAGTTTTTAATTTTTTGTAAGCTGCGGTGTGCAAGTTATGATTATAAACATCCGAGAAACCAGCCCCTGCCCCCCTCCCCCAGCCCCAGCCCCTGCCGCAATCCGAACACAATATTAATTTGGCACCAGCTGCCTTTTGAGAAGGTATCATTCTTGGTCAATGGATTTTTTTTCCCTGCAGATTATTTTTTGGAAAGATTTGTTACCGTTCAAGGTGGGGTAGACATAATTACATTCAAATGAAGGTGTGCGGCGTTTCCTCTCTCTCCTGGAAGAGGAAAGCTTCAACCCTGGCAGAGTCCTGAGACAAAAAAAATTGATTTTTGACGCCTTTCCACTCTTAAGGAAATTCTTGGTGCCTATCCAAATATGACAAGAGGTTAGAGCAAAGGACACTTGGGGTTCAAACATTATGCCGAGCTCATCGTTACATCTTCACCGCTAGGGAAATAAAATAACATAAAAATAAAAATCCAGACTCCCTTTTAGCATCTGTTGAATCTGTCTCCGGAGAAGAATCTTATTTTACTTCACAGTGCGTTAAGAGTCAAACGGAGGAGCACTAATGTGCATTGCAATACATTAGGCTTGATGCTTTTTTTTTGTTTTTTTTGTTTTAAACTGCCAGCAAGTTAAGACTTTTGCTTCATATTACTCTACGAGATCACAAGAGAGCTACAAAACATGCATGGAGACATTGTTGGCCCCCCCCTTTTTTTTTTCTTAAAGCGGTGGTCCCGTCTTCATGGAACTCCGAGCCACAAATATTTGGCACCTCTTCAGCTATTTATTCTATATATTTTTTTTTAAAAAAAGGGCTCCCCCTCTCCCCCTAACTTACCCCAACTTTGAATGAACACCATGTTGTGGGGCTGGATAATTTAATCTTCGTCGTCATCAGCCCTATGATAAGATTTTGAGTCGCTTTATGATGATCTTTAAACTTTGCAAAAGTTTGCCTCTGTGTGTGCGTGTGTGTGTGTGTGTGTGTGATATATATCTGCCTTGGGAGTCCTCTGCCCCCTGGAAAGAAGGCAGAAAGAACCCCCTCCCCCAATAAATAAATTAAATAAATACAAAGAATGGCAAAGAAACAAACCAACCCCAGTTACGTGGGATAACTTTGTGCAAGCTAGTAGGGAAGGAGAGAGGCCCGACATACACTATCTCCCCTGCCACAAGAGCTGCCCCCTGCAGGACACAGAGGGAAGCTGCGACTTCTGGGAGAATGCACCTTTCTCCCACCACCTGTTCCCGAGCACGCTCACTGCTCGGAGAGGCACTGTTCTAAGGCGGCCATGCCATACAGACTGGCCAGCTCCAAACCCCGGTGTTGCTGGATGCTCTCCAGGCATGGCTGGCTGGCTCTGGCCAGCTCCACCAAGACCCCCTGGTAAGCCCTCACCACCTCCATATCCACGGAGGATGGGACGACGCGGCCCAGCAAGGCCAAGAGGTCCTGCAGCCAGCCGGAACGCAGGACGTCCTGGGGCAGCCACAGGAAGAGAGGCACGCAGCTAGCAAAGGCCTGCATCCCCAAAAACCACAACTCGCGGATGGCCGGCCAGGCGGCCTTGTAGGCGGGCGAAACGCCGAGGGTCACGATCCCCCCCTCGGTGCTGGCTTGGGCCATGTAAGCTTCGGCAAGGAAACGGATGGTGGCGCCAAAGAAGCTCTCCGCTTCGGGAGTCCCCTGCAGACCTGGGAGGGAAAATTCCAAGAATCACGTTAGATCAGCGATGGCGAACCTTTTAGAGACCGAGTGCCCCAAAACGGCCCTCCCGCCCCCGCTCTGCCCTGCCCACTGGGCCACCCACCACCTCCACGGCCCGCCACAGATCACCCAGGCAGCCCCGCAGCATCATGGCGGCCACGCCCTCCGCCCGTGCCCCACAGCATCATCTGCGTGCAACGGGGCGCACGGGTGGAGTCTTGTCCCCGCTGCCCGGCTACCATGTCCTTGGCTGCGCTGCCGTGCCCAGGGGCGACTCTCCTCCGGGGGGGGCTGCTGGTGAGGAGGGGGCCGTGGGAGGAGGCAGGGCTGGGGAGACGGGGTGTGTGCCCACAGAGAGGGCTCCGAAGCTGCCATAGGTTCGCCACCACTGCGTTAGATGGATCTAGCACAGTGTTTCTCTCTGTTGTTGTTTTTTAAAGATTAATTTATAATGTAAAATACAAAACTACAAAAGAAAACAGCAGGGGAGATAGGGGAGGCAAAAGGGAGAAGTGTAGGAAAAAGGGGAAAAAGAAAAAAAAGGCGTTGACTTTCGACTCCCTTTGGTGCAGTAGGGTAAGATGACAACATCAAACCTCAACTTTTTACCTTTACGTAATAGTATCAGTTTCTGGTGTTACTCCAATATTTCTTTGCTTTGTCACATGTCCACAAGGGATAAAAGGTCCCTTCTTTACTTTTACTGGCTGAGGAATTCTGGGAGGTGGAGTCCACATATCGGAAAGCAATCCAGTTTGGAAAAAGCAATCCCCCCCTCCCCTTGCATCACTTGAATTTGAGACATAATTAACTGGGGGCAAAGCAAGAACAGTGCTTTTGTCGGGATTAGAGAAGTCTAAAAAGCTTCAGCAATCTGGCTTCGGTCCCACCCTCCATCCTGAATTGGCCCTTCTGAACATTCTGGAAATAACTAGCACGCTTAGTTCTGGAATATCGTTAAGGATATTTTTTTTTGCTCCAGACCCTCCACTTCCATCGGTGTGGGAATCACCCTTGAAATGCCCAGGTGGTTCCGGTCTGTCTGGGGGAAAAAAATGTGGGAAACGATGCTGTTACAGCACCATCTGTTTTGCTCGTTTTTTAGCCTTCATTCTGATCTCCAGAGCATCGCAGAGGAAAGGCAAGGTTGGAGAAAATAAACACTTTGAAATAAGAACATTCCCCCCAATTCAAATCTGGATGGTTGGGAAGACGTTGGACCCTTCGCTATCCAAAGCAGAGAAATAGTTTGCTGTTTCTGCTTCGGTAAAATACTTCTCAGATCTTGGCTGGCTTCCTTTCCACAGCACTGAATAACGGAGTTGGAAGGGACCTTTGGAGGTCATCTAGTCCAACCCTCTGCTCAAGCAAGAAACCCTATACCATTTCAGACAGACGGCTGTCCAGTCTCTTCTTAAAGAGAAGAACACTAAGCACTTTGCCCGCACTAAGGCAATCAATCAATCAACTCCCAATTCGGGATGGGGAAAAACCCAGAGGGCATCATTAAAGTGTATAATTGTTAATTTCTTCACTGATCGGCAGGTCTCATTAAAACACATAAACCTGGAACTGTGAGCAGTTCAAACTGCTATAGAAGTAATCCTCAACTTACAACTACCATTGGAACCAGATAGTTCCGTGAGTCACATCTAATTTTACAACCTTTCCCCCCCTGGTTGTTAAGGAAATCATTGCAGTTGTTAAAGTCATGAAGGAAATCTGACATCCTGCATCGATTTTGCTTGCTGGAAACCGGCTGGACAGGTCATAAACGGTGATCATGTGACCCTGGGATGCTGCAACAGTGGTGAATACAATCCAATTGCCAAAGTGCCTGTGTTTTTATTATGTGACCATGGGATGTTGCAATGGTTGTAAAGTGCAAGGACCAATCATAAGTCACTTTTTCAGCGCCACTGTAACCTTAAACCAGTGGTGGCGAACCTATGGCACGCATGCCAGAGGGGGGCACTCGGAGCGCTCTCTGTGGGCATGCCGCCTCGCTCTTTGGCTAAGTTTTCGTAGGAAAAAGCCATTTCTCAAACCCCTTCCTAGCCAAAACAAGCCTCCGGAGCGAGCACGCTGTTTTCAGCTTTGAATTATATCAAATCTGACACCAGGAACAGACTAACAGATGATCTGAGTGCTGCATGTGTTGCTCTCAAACTTACAACGTATAAACCAAGGTTAGGCAAATTATCAGCATGCGTAAAACAGCAAAAATCACATTAATTGTTCAAAAGCATGCCAAATGCAACCTTTTACTTTTCAGTAAAAAGTTGTTGGTATCATTGAAAGCTTTGTTATTGTGTTTTTCTTTTAAGACAAAAGATGTTAATGTATGAGTTGTTTTTTCTAAACTAAAACCTCAGTATTCAGATTAAATTGCCGTGTTGGCACTTTGCGATAAATAAGTGGGTTTTGGGTTGCAGTTTGGGCACTCGGTCTCTAAAAGGTTCGCCATCACTGCCTTAAATGGTCACTAAATGAATGGCTGTAAGCCGAGGACTACCTGCACGGGTACAATTATATTTGCTGCGGCATGGGAAAAAAATGCAACTGGCTAAGATGAAATCTGAGGCACCAGTCTTACTTGGCACCGCCTGGGTGATCTACGCACTATTTTAACATACAAGGAATGTGTACTGGTTGTGCAAGTGCCCTCCCACATTAACGGGAGCCCAGCCAACCAGCCCTGAAACAAGATTAAAACTGCCACTGCTTTGGCCCCCTCTCTGCTTCAAATGGTTTAGTTCAGTCAACAGAACTTGAGGTATCACCACTTGCCTGCATAAGCGAACAGTTTCCGGGCCATCATTAGCCCCAGCGTAGCCAGGTTGGCACTCAAAATGAGATGTTCTCTCTGTGGCAGCAGAGACGGAAGAGATTTCAGCACCGTGTCCATCAAGGCTGAGAAACAATCTTCTCGGCTGTGGAAAGGGAGAGCAAAAGAAGTGATGTTTTCTCAGTTATTTGCAATTCCTCCTCCTTGCACGATCTTCTTAGGACTTCTAAATTTTGCTCTCCGCTTCAGCAGCGCTAGGAGGATTTGGTATATATGTTAAAACGAAGGAAAAGCAAAGCCAAAGCCGGTTCTTGCTCGAACTTCATCAGCAGCGATCCAGAGTGCAATCTCTCGAGTTGGCTTTTCATGCTTTTTTTATTTTATCTATCTATTGAAATCCTGCCTAATTCTGGACTGCACGTAGCTCAACTCGTGCCAAGAACGACAAGGGGAAAAAACACCAGGGACGTGGGATTTGAGAAGTAACCCAAATACAATAGGATTTCCCCTGATAGACGGCATTTCAGTAGAATCTCACAAATTCAAACACATCCACAGAAAAACCACCAGGATACAGGGCAAGGGTGGAAACCGAGTCCTATAAAAGACAGGGCAGTTATGGGCAGGCATGATAAGCCTTCAAATACTTAAAAATATTTTAAAGGCCCTCGTGCAGAATAACAGAATAACAAAATTGGAAGGGACCTTGGAGGTCTTCCAATACCATCACCCACCCCCCCACCTGAGCTGGAGACCCTATACCAGAGGTAGGCAACCTTGGCTCTTTTATGACTCGTGGACTTCAACTCCCAGAATTCCTGAGCCAGCATGGGAGAACTATAGCTCCTTCATGACTCGTGAACTTCAACTCCCAGAATTCCTGAGCCAGCATAGGGGAAAGTTTGGCCCCTTCATGACTCGTGGACTTCAACTCCCAGAATTCCTGAGCCAGCATGGCTCAGCTTGGAAACCTCTCCCTTTCCCCTCAGCATGGCTGACTCAGGAATCCTGGGAGTTGAAGTCCACGAGTCATACAAGAGCCAAGGTTGCCTACACCTGTTCTAGGTCAGGGGTCTTCAGACTTGGCAACTTTAAGACTTGTGGATTTCAACTCCCAGAATTCCTGAGCCAGCATGGCTCAGCATGGAAACCTCTCCCTCTCCCCTCAGCATGGCTGGCTCAGGAATCCTGGGAGTTGAAGTCCACGAGTCATAAAAAGAGCCAAGGTTGCCTACCCCTGCCCTATACCATTCTGGGCTGAGTTGGACAGGTTGATCTCAATGTTCCTTTTCCAGCCTACGATTCTACGTTTGGGAATGGAGGTGTTTGCAGGAACACATCCAGATGCTTTTAGTGCAAAAGGGAGCTGATGGGGCTTACGGAACTGCCTGCTGTCAGAAACTCTGCAAAACATCAGCCCCAAACACAAGAGTTTCATAATCACAGCAGCTGAATGTGCTACCCATGCTTTTGAGATCTCTGTGTTCAATGTGCAAAGATCGCTAAGAGCAGCCCGGCACATGGGGAGTCGTCTGCCCACTAGCTCTCACGGATTGCTGGCAAACGCCTACGCAGGAGCAATTAGCCTCAACTCCCCGCAGAGCGCTTTCGCTTAAGCAACAACCCGAAGCGGACCTTTCTAACAAGGGAAAGAGGAGTTGCATTACACCTCCACCTCCGTACATTACCTGATTAAATCGGGAGCGGTGACAACGAAATTCAGGAAAATCTCGCAGGAGGTCTGAAGACTGGCTTCAATCACTTTTGAAGCAGACTGGGATTCAGTGTTTGAAACAAAGGTCTCCCAACGGTGCAGGAAATATTGGCACAAGAGGACCGGCGCCCCCTCGGAAATTAGGATCTCACGGGGGCGATCTTCTGCAGTCAGGTGGCTCAAACCAGGTAACAGGAATCTAGAAGGGGGAAATGCAAGGCCCCGGAAGTGAGTTTAAAGTCAGAGAGTTTTCAATGGATTGTTCAGTCCAAAAGCCTACAAACAGCCTTCCGTATGGACTTTCCTTCTGGATTTAAAAGGCAGAACTAAAAGATCTTTGAGGAAACATGTCCGTGTTTCAAAGCAAGGTACGTCGGTAACCTGCTCAGTCAAATTATGGTACCTGCATCTCAGGGGTTTGAGGATAAAACAGTACTGAAGAATTGCTCAGTTGCAATTAGAACAGAAAAACTAGGAGTTGAAAATAAACAAATCCAAACATAGTGGAGTCATTACAGACATGGTTTCTCCAATCCAGTTCAGGCACAGCAGCAAGAAATTATATGGAGAGTACAGAAAGAAGTGGACGATCATTTCTTTATATGCGGGCCTAGAATCATCGTTACAAATCGCTGTACGATCCTCTTGATGCTTGCTGCCTTTATAATATAACCACAGCTAGTGATTGCAAGCTGTTGTAATTAACAGAAGCAAGACTACTAGATACCTTAAAACACAGTGTTTCTCAACCTTGGCAGCTTTCAGTTGTGTGTGGACTTCAACTCCCAGAATTCCTTAGCCAGTCTTGCTGCCTTAACCCAAGGAGCCTGATAGCTCAGTATGAAGAATATACCAGGGACAAGAAATGCTGGGAGTGGTAGGCCAGCCTGAGGTAGGGCGAGACATAATCCTCATCCTGCATTTAGAACAGGAGCTAGGCACACAAGACTTCATTTGCAACATTAATAAGAAGGAAGGTGCTCCATAAAAGTCAACATCAGCTTAACAATCTGCCCTGAGATTGTACTGGACATACAAAACTGGACATCCAATAAAATGTCCCACGGCATTTAAATGTCAGAGCATCTCTTCCACGAGAGTCAAGCAAATGACTCTGTAAAAGATGGCTGTGTGGTTTCTGTGGAGGATAGCCAAATCTCTCAGATCACTTCTCTGGGCATCCTACAAAGCCAGGATGGAGCCAGTCCAAGGCAAGGCAAATCATCCATAATTAACGTTCTAAAACGGTGTCAAACTCGCAACGTCATGTGACGTGTTGCGATGTATCGCGACTTTTTTTCCGTTGCATGACGGATCCGGCCTGCGGGGCGGCAGTTTGACCCCCCCTGTTCTAAAAAGAAACTTCACTTGATTCCCCTCAAGAAGCAAACTTTGGTCAAAACATTTGGGAAAGTTTTCAAAAACAGAGAAGCATGTAGCTTTACCGTGTTATAAGGGACGCAACCGAGGCTGGGAAGTGGTACGTTTGTGCTGCAAATTTGAACTAGGGTTTTTTCTGCCTTTCGGACGATCCGTTTGATCTTCAATTGCAGACAAGACAGAACTACGGGTGACCCTCAACCTACTAGTCCTCAATGGTCCTGGGATGATGTCCTCACCTTTTGCCACCTTCAACGGGGAAGCTGGATTCACCGTGTGGCTAACTCAGGGGTAGGCAACCTCGGCTCTTTTATGACTCATGGACTTCAACTCCCAGAATTCCTGAGTCAGCCATGCTGACTCAGGAATTCTGGGAGTTGAAGTCCATGAGTCATAAAAGAGCCGAGGTTGCCTACCCCTGAGCTAACGGAAGGACTGCAGTGATTCACTTAACTGTGGCAAGAAAGTTCATAAAACGGGGCAAAATTTCACTTAACAACTGTCTTACTTAGCAACATAAACATTGGGCTCAATTGTGGCCGTAAGTCGAGGACTACCTGTATTTCCATTCTAACCCTGGGAACGAGGGGCTCGTGGGCCAAAAGGACAGGAGATCTACTGATCTGCGGGAGAGAAATCCTGTCAATTATTGTCTTTCAGCAACTATCAGGATTTTTTTACCTCAGAGCGTCTCCCCGCCACAGAGGCTCTGCGATGGGGCCTTGTCCGGCCTGCTCCTTTTCCGATTGGGAAGCACTTCGGCGGCTTCTCCTCTCTTCTTCAAACTGCACCTTGGCGTAATAAACGAGGAACGGGAGCAGGTTGCAGATCTCCTGCTTGAGGAACGAGGTCTCCTCAGCCAGCCAGGCGCCCAGGATTCGAACGGAGGCGAAGATGAAAGGATCCTCCAGCTTCTTCTGCCCAACCTGAGTAGCGGAAGGGGGAAAAAAACCACACACCTTCAAAAGGCCACGTTCACAAGGCCGAAAAGGGCCGAGGCAGGAGGCCTCGCGAAGCCGACTCGCCAGGAAGGGTAGGAGAGCAGGCCGTAAATGTCAGACCTGCCCCAACTTAGGCCTTTAGGAAAGAAAGACCCTCGACTCCATTTGGTCGAAGTGACAGATTCTTTTGCTAAAAAATTAAGGGGTTGCGGCAAAAGCACTGAGTTTTCTTGAACGGACAGCTCAGGCACTCAGCTGAGAAAAACAACTCAACTTTTCCACCTTTCTGTTTTAACTAAAACGATTTTTCAGGACCCAAATGGCTTCTGACAGCTCAACTGAAACAGAAGTCCAAACGGCACACATTTGGGAAGAACTGCCCCCGTCCTACGGCCAATTCCTGTCGTGTGCTGAACTTTTTAATTGCCAGGATTGCCTCTCTTGCAGACCAGGAGCACCTGACTAAGGTGACCCCCTTCCCAGCCTCAGCCTCCCATCTAAAAAGGATAATTAGCCACCCCATGCGACAGGCTCTGCTTTTACCTGTCTCAGGTAATGTATGACAGCCCCCAAAGCTTCCTCCAGGATCCCCACCAGCTGCACTTTCTGGGTGTCTTGCAGGAGAGAGCCCTTCTCTCGGGTGCATTCCACAATGGCCAGCTCCATCAGGACGTAGCAGGCCGCCATCAGTTCCCGCTTCTTATCCACCTCCGTCAGGTCCAGCTCCTCCAAGGTCAAGCGGACCTCCACGCAAGCCAAGTTGATCAAGAGGGCAAAGAATTTGCTGCCGGAATTGCCGGCGGGGATCCAGGCCGAGCTGCAGGCTTGGGAGAGGCAGGCCGAAAGCTTCAAGGCCGGGTCTCGCTGGGAAGTGCTTAGCTTGCTTGTTAAGATGCTCGACAGGCCTCGGTAGAGGAGCAGGAGGCATTCGGAGCCAGGGGGGAGAATAGGAGGCACGAAGCGGGCCAGCACCTCGCACAGCTGGAATTTGGTCATGTCTTCGGCCTTCTGGAACTCCGCACTGAGGACATTAAGCACGCCCGTGAGGTCAGTGGTGGCTCTCTGCCAACACTTGGTCTCCGCTGACGTCAGAAGCCCCAGCAGCAGCTGAAGGGCCTGATCGTAGCCATAGCTGTGGTTCACGTAGGCCTGGCAGAGGGCAGAGAGGGCGCCCCTGTTGATCAACTCTCTGGGACCCTTAGAGGTAGCCAAGATGGCTCGGAGGCATTGGTAGGCGTCGTCAATCATGGCGCTGTAAGAAGCATCTCTGGTCTTGGCTGAAACCACGTCACTCAGAATGGGGATTTTGTTCAGCATCTGCGGATGCCGGGCTAAATCTGGATCGGTGCAGAAGCAGGCCAGCAAAGTGAGGCCCAGGGCTTGGAAAGTGTGCTGGGGGCAGCCCTCGGGGGGATCCTTGGAAGTCAGAAGCCGGTTTGGGAATGTGAAGCCGACGGCGTCGAAAATCCTTCGACGGGCTTTGGAATTGATTTCTCCTGCTTTGATCGCTTTGGTCACCTGAAAGAAGAAGCCGGAGGTATCAAACGGCGGGGGGGGGGGAGAGGAAGGGGGCAAGATTCCAACTCTTTGTCAGGTGGACAACTCTTATGCTGTCCACGTTTGATTTATATGAGAAGATTAAAACTGTATAATTCAATAAATGATCTAAATAACATTCAAAAAGCGCTAGACCTATCATCATCACCACCACCACCACATTTTACAGGTGGGACCCAGCTGAGTTTATCTCTCAGATAGCTAGCCAACTACTACTGAGTAGCTAAAACAAACAAGGAGTTCCTTCCTTCCTTTCCTTCCTTCCTTCCTGTGGTGGGATTCAGCTGGTTTGCACCACTTCAGCAGAACCGGTAGCTAATTTTTTGTTGCCCAGGTCCAGAATGGACTTCGGGAAGAATGGACTTCCTATTTGAATCCCACCACTCCTTCCTTCCTTCCTTCCTTCCTTCCTTCCTTCCTTCCTTCCTTCCTTCCTTCCTTCCTTTCTTCCTTCCTTCCTTCCTTCCTTCCTTCCTTCCTTCCTTCCTTCCTTTCCTCCCTCCCTCCCTCTGGGTATTTTCTCTCACCCAGGAAAGGCTAGAATCTTACCAGAAGCAAAGCTGCAAATTGTTCGCTATCATTGCTTGCATCGCGGAATACATTCAGGCATCTCTCCAGGGTACAATTCTTGCTGCTCTCACCATCATCAGCAGCAATTCCCGAGTTTGAGGCCATGATGCCAACACTGACTGTTAAAAAAAAAAAGGAAAAGGAATAACTCAGAAAGACAAAGAGGCTCCACTCCAAAGTAATGCTGGACAATCAAGCATGGATCTGGCTTTCATTGTCGGGAACTGGAAGTGGCCCTTTTTATTTCCTGGGATGGCCATCAAACCAAGATCACGTTTGGCCCAGTTATTATCAAGAGAAGGAACAGCTGCAAGGCAGCTTGCTTCTCCCATCCTGCCAGCACGAACACTTAGCTCCAACAACCCACAATCCTGCTCCTGTCAAAGTAAAGAGCACTTTGGAGTCACCCATCTGCCGAAGGAACAAGAACCGTCAATTGTTACGTAAGGAACAACACAAGCAAGAGCAGGGCAGCCCACCCCAAATTGCCTTAAATAACAACCTATAGCTCACCAGTGTATCCGGCTTGGAAGAATTGCTCTTCTCCTCCTTCTTTTTACACTTTTGTCTGCAGGCCCGATGGTAGAGGTTCTCTCTCTTTTGACGTGAGCTGCTCTGGAAAACAATGACCCAGTTATTATTATTATTTTAAAAAAAGAACAATGACAAAGAGTTTTGGGTGATCAGAACTGAGTGAGTGTGCTGGGGCACACTGTCCAGTAAATAGATTAGGACAGCCAACCTTCAGCGTTAAGTCCACAAATAGATCTGGGGATGTGCAGAACTTGCAGACAAGATTTATGTTGCGAATTAAGGAACACGGTAACACTATTTATTTGCAATGTGATCTGAAGGTGACGGACTAGTCTTTTGTCATGTCAGAATGCTTTCTGGATCATCCGCACATCAGACCTCTGCAGGTGTGGTGGACCAGTTAAACTGTCCATCCCAGTGCTTACCGTTCTCTCCCCCCACCCGGGGTTTCAGAGGTCCCACAGGAGTTCCCCAGCACTCTTGCAGGCATCTCTATTCCCCTCACCAACCTCTGGAATATGGTGCTGGCAAGAGCAGTAGACAAGGGTGGCCCCAAGTGGCCTCTCCTTGCAGATCCCTGTAAATTCCTTGGTTTACTGAGGAGTTGGAGTGAGGGCGGACAAAACTAGAGTAAATCTGATGGCTCATGGGTGCATGTCAACATTTGTGAGTGCACCATAAAAATGGGGTAAGTTTTAATTCCTCTGCACTTCCTGGGTCTGCACAGTTGCATCCAGTGACTCTGTTCGGTCTCTGATTTAGGAGGCTGCAGTGACATATTTACAAATTATTTTGGCAGATAAAATTGCTTGTATTCTTCTCAGCTGGTTTCCTCTTGGAAAGAATCTTGGCAAAATATTCTGGCAAGGGATTCTTTGGAGCTTGTGCGGAGCAAGGCTATGGAGTGGGACTGTGGCAATAGAGGTTTGGCCACCTGCAAGTTTGATTCATGATCCAACTGGACTATTCATGCAGCCGGATGGGGCAGGTGGGGTTGATTTCATGAACATTAGGGAAGGTTGTGAAGAAGGTAATGGGATCCAGTTGTCTAGGGCCTTAGAGGAAATAGATTTTCTTGACCTCTTGCCATCAGGATTCAGACTTGGCACAGGACGTGAATGGCGTGCTGGTAAAATGATCTTTGTCAGGACTTAGATGGAGGGCATACCTTTTGGTCCTGCTAGTCCAGGGGTAGGCAACCTTGGCTCTTTTATGACTTGTGGACTTCAACTCCCAGAATTCCTGAGCCAGCATGGCTCAGCTTGGAACCTCTCCCTTTCCCCTCAGCATGGTTGGCTCAGGAATTCTGGGAGTTGAAGTCCACGAGTCATAAAAGAGCCAAGGTTGCCTACACCTGTGCTAGACCATTCAGTCATGGCCTTCTTCTGGACTGCCTACAAGGATCTGGGCTTAGAAATGGTGATTCTGCTTCTCCCTAAGTGAGCAGTCCTAATGTGTGCATGTGTGCAGGCATGAGAGAGAGAGAGAATTGCATATATGTGTGAGGTTCCAGTCTTCTTTCTCATGTTTAACATGAGATCAGGGGTCTCCAAACTGGGTCACTTTAAGACTTGTGGATTTCAATTCCCAGAATTCCTCAGCCAGCATTCTAAGAGTTGAAGTCCACAAGTCTTAAAATTGCGAAGTTTGGAGACCCCTGATCTTGATGAAGTTGCTGGGGCAGTGTCAAGGGAACTCGGAATGGTCTTGAGGGACAGGAGGAAGAACTGCTACCAAGACAATGGTCAGATCAAGAATTTAACATGAGTAAATGTTTCAGACAAGTCCCTGTTTAATTCACACGAAGATAAAGGGGAGGGAGGTGCATGCAGATCCTATTACTATAGCTTTATAATAAAAATAGCACTGACCTACAGGGCATTGGTTTCCTTGTCTAGTCTTCCTTAAAGGGCTGACAGGAAGACCACCTATGAATTGGAAAGAAGATCCCCATCCTCGTTTATTAAGGTGGAGGGTTTTTTTGTTTGTTTGTTTGTGGGCCTTTTTAAACCAGGGAGCCCTGTCTGTCATGACTCATGCCCTTGTCTCCACGCAGGTAGACCACTGAAACACGCTCTATGTGGGATCGCCTTTGAAAATAACTCCGATGCTTCAACTAGTTAGCAGCTTTGTCTGTTAATTGGAGGGAACAGATTCAGCAGTGTAAATTTACGGTGCTGCACTGGTTACTGGTTTAGTTTCTGGGTTCCGTTCAAATTGCTGGCTACCATCTTTAAAGCTCATCACGAATGGACACTTGCAGGACTTTGCTTCTTGCCCTTACTTGGTCTCTCCCACGTGGCCTTTAAAGGAGGGCCTGTTGTCAGGCCCAAGCCCGGAGGAGAGACAGTGAGATCTAGTTGAGTCCAATCTTTTATTTACTTGCAGCCAATAGACAGAATCTTGCCAAGCTAAAGCTATAGCTTTATAAGCTATTCGATATATTCTGACAGATTCTAGGATGTGGCTACTCCTTTCCCCGCTCTCCCATCCATCTCCAGACTGCGCAGTCTCTTCATCTGGGTCTCTTTCTGCGAAAATTCCGAGTTGGCCAAGTCCACCCACTCAGCTGCTGTAGGTGCACACTCCCTCATACCTGTGGAAGGTTCCCACCCAAATGAAGGTGTGATGGGGAGTGGTAAGGTACTTTCTCTGTGGCTTTCTTCATTTTCTGAAAGTTCTTGCCTGCCAAGGCGCAGAGGGCACCCAACCTCTTGGTCTTTCAGAAGCCACCATCTTACTGTTCCACAGGGCTCTTGGACACGAAAGGCAAAATGGCTGCCTTCTCTTAGTTAGATAAGAGTCATGTAATGTTGGTGTCTGTTACTGTTTCTTTGGGCTGTTCTCAGAAGTGGATGGTCTTTAAATATTTATATAAATAAATATTTATAGACTCAGGAACCCAGGAATTTATCAAAAACAGCAGAACACGGCTATTGAGAAAATCTGTTTCTGTTTTTCCCAAAGAGTTATTTTCCGGCAATCTAACCCAGGGAGAATAATTGGGATGGGGTGGGGGGTTGGGGGAGAAGAGAGAGAGCTTTTCAACTGGTTCTATTGTTAGACAACCATGAGTCATAAACCTTTGTACTGGTGCAAGACACCCTGATCTACCGCTTCTGAACTCCTGCCCATTGCTCACCTAGAAATGTCTGCAAAATTTTGTTAAAAATAATGCTCTATATAAACCGTTCAAACACTGTAATCAAACCAGCCTAAGATTTAAGAATTATCTTCATTGCTACATAGAATTCTGATTCTACTTGATGTTCCTTTACATGTAAAATATTGCCAATATATTGAGTCTTAGCCACTGTAACTTCCCCAGAATAATTGATTTATATTGTTCAAAAACTGTTGAACACAATTTGGAAAATTGCAAAATACAGCAAAATACAGTTGCAACAAACTGTTTTATTTCAGATATTTGAGTGATACCGTTGGCTGATAAGGTAGAAAATTAACTCAACATTTAACACAATGTTTTAACATAGTTCAAATGGTGAATGAAGCTGTATACGATGTCTTTTGAAAACATAAGTCTGTTCTTCTTCTAATATTTAAGTCCTTCTTTCCTCTTTTGCTTCTATCAACCTTGCTGTAGTTCACACCCCAAAAAATATTCTACAATGTATAATGGTTCTGCAGCGTATTTCACAGCAGACCAACTAAAATAGAAAGAGCTCCCTTAAGAATGGAGCGTGGAAGAGATGTGGAAGCTCATGAGAGGGAGATCCAACCTAGAAATAAGGGGAAATTTCATGACAGTGAGAATTATTAAGCAGCGGAACAGCTCACCTCCTGGAATTGTGATTGCTCCATCGCTGGAGGTTTTCAACAGAAGATTGGACAATCATTTGTCCAAGTGGTATGAGGACTCCTGCCTTGGGTGGAGGGTTGGACTAGAAGACCTCCAAGGTCCCTTCCACCCCTGTAATTTTATGACTGGAATTTGTGAAATATAGCTTTAAAACCCTGGAGAGGGAGTATTATATATCACAGGGAAAGACTGAACGTAAGCCTAAGCAATAAAGAATTAACATTATTATTAAAGCGTAAAATCCTAAATGTTCAGGAAAGGAAATCTTTTGGTCTTTTTTCTAGTTGCTAGTTTAATGACCAATTTGGAATGCAAAACTCCAGCCCATATTTAAAATAGGTTTTGCCCTTGGAAGATGGAAATGTTGTTATTTGCTCAACCCAGGTGTGAGAGCATCTGTGTGCAAGCGCACTTTATTCTTGGAGGCTTCCAACGGAAAAGAACGGAACAAATAAACATGTGACACGTTAAGAGATGATAAAAATATCCAGGATTTCATCCGTGCAGAAAGATAGCAATAGTAGCTTTGGCTTCAGCTTTCCACCATAAGAAAAAACACAGAAATGTAGGCTCTTTTAAATTCAGGTCTTGCTGACAGGAAAAAATATGAATCTTTAAAAAACTGCCTGGCAGACCCTAGGCAGACAAAATGTGAAGAAATAAACACCAACATTATTATTCTAACACCAGAATCCAGATTCTGGGAGGAAGGATGGCTTCTAAAAGGGATGGGGAGAGCAATTAAGATAGAAAGTCTTCCTCCTGTGGCCAGAATCAAACCCAGACTCAGACTGGAGCTGCTGAGGGTATATAACCTTGGACCACCCTGTTCTAATTAAATTGCTTCTACCAACCTAACAGGAAACAATGGAATATGCCTGTATCATGCAATTAAGGGCATCTCCAGATGCGCCCAAGTTACCCCAGCTCTGTCAGAACTGCACTGGTGATCAATTAGATTTTAGGTGCAATTCAAGATGCTGGTTTTCACCTTTAAAGCTGTACATGGACTGCATGTTTTAGAGAACCATTTTCTTCCAGCTGTTTGCTCATCCAACAAGATCTAGCAGGGAGACCCCATCCTTGAGGAGCCATAGGTCTTTTCCTGCAAGCGTCCCCCTCATTTGGAACAGTGCTCTATCTGGGGTACCTCAGCACCAACCCTATTTGCTGTTCAGGAAAGTCATTATCACCTGTTCTAGAGAGCCTTTGAAAATATATGATAAGGTGTGCCTCGTCTTTGCAGCAGGATAATTATTACGGCTATGACTGTTTTGTCTTGGTGCCTTACTAGCAAGCAGGATTGACTGTTATTAGATTAATGTTTTCCTTGTGATTTTTTTTCCTATATAATTTTGTATAATTTCTAAGCCACTTAGAGCCTTCTTGGAACTGATCAGCATATAAACTGCAGTAATAAATTAATAAATATGTCTTTTCCCTCCCTTTGCATTTAATGGATTTTTACTCCTCTTTAAAGGAAGCTCTCAGAAGGCAAATGTTTTAAATGTTTTAAAAACAAAACTAACTTGTTCAATACAAGCAAAATCAAACATACGCACACATGCACACATATAACAACAGGATCAACAGTAAGATCAATAATGCGTTTTGGGAGAAGTATTTAAGAAATACCTACAAAAATTAGGACAAGCAGAATGTCACAAATGTGAAGCCATCGCAAAGAGTCGCTGTCCATGGTACTAATGTTTCTGATCAGATTTTTTGGTGGGCTAATAGGAACTGATTTGAGATCTATGTTAGGGCCTGGACAATAAGAACAGACCAGGAGTAATTTTATAGCTTACACCCAGCTCTTGACTGCAAAAAATTTGCTTTGTGCAGAGCCTCCGCTCAGTTTTCCAAATAGTTGCTCTGCAGAGCAGTCAAAAATGGGTTGCTGGTTTACTGTTGGTAAGGGCTGAAAAATCAGCAATTTGCAGGACGTGGTTTGGCAGATGCCTCAGTAATGATTGTTACGAGCAACGAACTAGCCATTGTGTTTTAACCTACCCATCTAACCATCACTTACAGTTCAGTGCATAGTTACAGATAGGTTAACGATGGTTAGATTAACTACAGGCAAGCATGAGAAGAGAGAAAGAAAACCATCCTTTCCTTCCAGCCTCTCTCTGCAAAAAACCACTGCATCCCCATTGTTCACCCAGCAGGCAACCAGTGATCTTAAAACAGATCTGCCTGGTGGGAGGCTTCTCTTCCTTTTCTCAGTGACCCTAATTAAAATCACCAATTTTTCGCAGCAGGAATGCAGCTAATTGCAATTAGGTTGCGGGAGAATCAGAAGCCTCGTTGCTCCCTTTTCTCTTCCAGTTGGGATTGGGGGGGGGGGGAAGAGAGAGAGGATTGACGAGCATCAGTGGCGCAAGCGGATTCCCAAATCCTGTTGCAGGCAGCAGCTCGGCTGCAATTCAAGCACTTGACCCCCTGCATGCTCAGAGGGTTAGCCCCCCTCCTTCCAAGCTGCATTTGCTTCACCTTGGCAACCAGCCCCACTGCATTCTCAGGAGCCCCCAACCCCGCCATCCAAACCAGCACCACAGACGTCCAGCGGGGATGAACCGCTGGTCCAAACTGGTGCAACAGAGGCAGCCAAAGGCTGGACCCGCTACCCTTAAGAGCAACTCTACCCAAGCAGCAGCGGAGGACCTTTTGAAACTGCCCCCCCCTCGAAACACAACTGCACCCCTCCCCGCCCCTCCGAGACGCCATCCGGCGTTGGACAGGACAGGACAGGGCAGGACGGCCCGAATCCCCAGCGAAACTCTTTCGAGAAAATGCACCAGGCGGGGATTTCAGATGCATTTCTTTCTTTTTTTTTCCCACGCCGGGGCCCCCCTGTTTCCCACGCGGAGGACAAGGGACCTGGGCAGAGTTCGGAGGGAGACGCCGCGGCGCAGGACTTGCTGCCCCCCCGAGGGCGGGCCCGACCGCGGGGGGGGTCCCTGGGTGGGTCCGCGGGGGGGCGGATGGAGGGGGATTGCAGAGCCCCAGCACGCCTTCTCCAACTGCGACACCAGGCGGGAGAGGCCAGGTTCCCCCCCCTCCCTCCCTCCCTCCCCGAAATGCGGCGCGCGCTAGACCGAAGGGCGCCCTTCGGGAAGCTCAGCCCCCCCCCTCAGCCCAATAAGAGGGGGGGCGGGTGGCCTGGCTTGGGATTCACCCCCCCCCGCCGCCGCCGCCGCCTTCGACGCCTCTGGGTTTCTTTCCTGCTCCACTTTGCCTTCCGAACGGCCGCTCGCCTCCCTTCCTACCTCCCAGCCGACAGCGCGCTTCTTCTCCTCCGCCGGCTCTCCCGGATGGCATCTGCCAGGAGCGAGCAAGCGCGCGCGCCGAAGGGCCGTCTGCCGCTCTCTCCAACGCAACGCCTGTCGGCTTTCCCTCGCCGCCCTCTCCCCGCTCTTCTCTCTCTCTCTCTCTCTTTCTCTGTCTCTTTAGCCAATTCCTCGACGGCTTGCTAATCTGGCTCCCAATCACCGGCCGCCTTGCTGCGACCTCTCCGCGAAGCCGCTGCCGCCATGCCACCTAAGGGCAACGGCCAGCGTTCTCTCTCTCTCTCTCTCTTTCTCCCCTTTCCTCCACACCCCCCCCGGTCTTTCCGCTTTCCCTTTTGAGGAAACGGAGGGCGGGGGAGGAAGGCGCTCGGGCAACCATAGCAACGGCGAGAGGGTTTTTTTTTCCTGCCCCCTCCCCACCCTCCTCTCGTTCCGACGGTCGGGAGCGCCCATTGGTGGAGAGGCCGGCCGAGGCGTACGTCTTTTTTTTTTTTTTTTTTTTTTTTTTGCGTTTCCGGCCGGAGGGAAAGAAGCGGAGGGGGCGGAGCGGGGCAGAGAGTGAGGCGTTGCGGTTGCTCTGCCTCAGAAACTGAAGGATTTTGGGGGGGGCTGTTTTTAAAAAAAGAAATAACTTGGTGGGGGGGCTGAACAAGCTTCTGGGGAGCCTGCGGCCTACCTGCCGGCCATGGCGGCGGTAAAGCCGCGGCCGTGAGGAGAGCATGGGCAGGGGGACCCTTCCCTCCGGCAGTTTACCTCAGCGGCCAAGCCAGCCGCTCGCTCCCCGCCTTTTCACCTGTCGGCCAAGAACCCCCGTCCCCTCACCGCGGCCCGCCATGCTCCCCTGGTAAGTAGCGCCCGCTGGGTCGCGTTGCCTTCACTTCGCTTGGCTCCCTTCAGCCGCCGCTCCCGGGGCCTCCCCGCCTGGCAGTGCTGGGGATGAGAGTCCCCTGAGCGGTGGAGGTTAGGGAGAGGGCCCAAGTCCACGTGTCCCCCCACCCCGGGAGCTCTCGGGCCGACTGTCACTGGAGCCGGCCTACCTCGCCGGGGTGTCGTGGGATCGGATCAGGGCAGGCGGAAGCGCGTGTCCTGGGGGGGCCAGTCCGCTCGTGGGAACAGCTGCTTCCCCAAAGCAAGAGCGGCCCCCCCCCGACTCTTTTGCCTCTCCCCCCCCCCCGGGAAGAGGTCAAATCTGTCTTTTCGTGAGGGTCCTTGGTGATTATGTTTGTCATTTATTTCTGCCGTTGATCTGCCAAACAATATCTACTGAATATCAGTAGAGCCTCTACAGCACAGACATTGACTAAACAATCTGTAAAATCATATAACAAGGCAAGGGAAATGTTAAGTTTAAGAATTGGGGGTGTACAAATAAATAGAGTAAGGTATCATACCATGTATAGATAATAATAATAATAATAATAATAATAATAATAATAATAATAATATAATAATAATAATAATGATAATAATAATATAATAATAATAATAATAATAATAATAATAATAATAATAATAATAATAATAATAATAATATAATCTATACATGGTATGATACCCATCTATTCCATGCGGCCGGCCTGGCGTGGTTTTGATTGTGTTTTGGTAGGGGTTTTTATATGGGGCATTTTAGAGCAGGCCTTTTATTTAATATTTATTGTGATTTTTATTATCGCCTGTTCACCACCCTGAGTCCTGTAAGGGAGATAGGGCGGTATATAAATTTAAATAATAATAATAATAATACCTTACCTTGCATCAAGATTGCAAGGCTTTATTCAGATTATGTTGCTTAATGCCTGTTGGTGAATACAATTTACAGTTTTTTTTATTATCCGGTTGCTTTCCATACTCTAGCCTGGTTTTTACACCACTTTAGTACTTTGGAGTGAGGCGTTTTATAACTCTGATAAATAAATAAACCCACCTTGAGTTCACAAACAAAAGGGATATGCAAGTTATGAGGATGCCCGTCGACCTGCAATGTCTGAACGGAAAAGGTTTATATATAATCAAGGGTGGCAGAGACAGATGTGCCTGACCATAGCTTCCAGCACCATAGCAAAGCATTACTGCACATTATGGAAACTTGGAGGCCCAGGAATTGGTTAATCAGCTCTCCAAGGTTTTCAGGGCCCCTGTGTCTCCGGGTATCCCTTTTGCAAAAGATGCTGAAAGTTGAGTCTGGGACTTGGTTAAACAGGATAGTTGCCACTGAAGAGTGAATAGTTCTTAGAGAACTAATAAAATGCTTGGGTGCTACTTCAGATATTTAACAAATGTATTATAGAGAATACAGCTCCTACAACCTATTAATTTTATTGTACAAAACTGAACTAGTGCAGAACACTGATGTGTGTATCACGTGTTATGTTTGTCTTTTACTGAAGTGAAAATGCGGGAAATTTAATTTGGTACCCTTTTTTGTACAAGTGGGAGGAATTGAACCTGCACTTATTGGCATAACAATTAGGAAAAACAGGTACAACCTTGTTTTAAGGAGCCCATATAGAAGTTATGTTGGATGTAGATTGCTTTTAGGCCTTTGCTGTAGGTATTGTTAATTTGTATTGGTTTTTGTATGTTCTTTTTTGTGGTTTGATAGTATTGTAATTTTTTTCATTGTAAGCCACCCAGAGTCATGCAGTTGAGATGGGTGGCTATATAACTCAAATGAATGAATACTAAAATTAACAGTCAAATGGGAACTTATTTCTAACAAATATAAGTTGTTCTTTAATACATATGCAACCTTTCCTCCTGGAGCTCCAGGCAGTGTATCCATCTTGAGTGGATTAATATAATTCATGTAGTTATTGGCTGAATACCAGTAGGGAGACAGGACAGTAGTGTCCTCAGAAATGCTAGGGTACACTCTGACTGGTAGCTGAGACCTTATTTGTATGGATTAAAATTATCAGATTAAATATAAGTTCTGAGCCTGCTTTTTCTTTTAGCTAAATAACTCTTATACTGTATATTGTCATTTTGATAGGTAGGTAGGTACCTACCTATTTAGCTAGATAGGTACCTACCTGTCAAGAAGACTATGTCTCTGTAGATGGTTGATTTTGCTCTGCTTTTGTCCAAGCAATCTGTCTGGAGTGGATAGTACTACTTTGACTGGAAACATTCATCCACTCCTGCTGCAGTACAGTTTTACAATGGGGTTATATTTTGATTTTCTGTTAGAGTTACTTTTCTGGACTTTCCACTTATCCTATCAGAGCTTGCCCAAATAGTTGCTTACAGAGACCCAAACAGTAGATTCTGTGACAGACAGGACCAGCTCTAATTTAGAAATAAGATTTTTTTAAAATTTTGATTTAATTTCTTTGAGAAGAAAGGAACTCCTTGGATTTAAGTGAGCCTTTTATTTTAAATTCTGAGAAAAATTACTTTGAGTATCAGAAATTTTAAAAGCAGCATCCCTCAAATGTCAACTGTTTAAGACGGAGGCACCCTTCAAATAAGGATATTTTGCTGGATACAAATATATTTTTGGGGGGTTAAATATTTCAAAGCTGTTAAAAGCTTCCCTAAAAGAGTTGAGTAAAGTTGGAAGGGGATTTTTTTTTGTAACTGAACAGTAAATCATATTTGCTGTATTAAGAGCTTTACAATTATGAAATAGAGTGTTCTGCTAAAACAGTAATGAACCTAAATTGAGTCAAGTGAGCAATGGTATATTGATGAATAATGAATATGCCTCCATTTGCATAGACCAGGGGTAGGCAACCTTGGCTCTTTTATGACTCGTGGACTTCAACTCCCAGAATTCCTGAGCTCCATAGCTGACTCAGGAATTCTGGGAGTTGAAGTCCACGAGTCATAAAAGAGCCAAGGTTGCCTACCCCTGGCATAGACACTGAGGGAAGCTTTTAACTGTGCATAACAAGGAATCCTTTTCATTTATTAAAAATCCAGCGTGTTGATAAACAGACATATGTATATGCATATACTATATATGAAAGTATACCTTTACATTGTGACTTTATTGCTATTGTTGCATATGCAGTTTTAAGACTCCAAATGATGTATTGAATATGTAAATACATTTTGCAGCATGTTGGTTTCTTATTTTTTAAAAAGTCTTAGTGATTCTCTCCTGACTTTAGTTCTAGTAGCAACTTCTTTTTGCTGGTGGCTTTTACCAGCAACATAGCGTGGGGTGAAGTGACTAAGAAAAAAAAACACAGCATGACTGAGAGATCCCAAATGCTATTATTTTAATAAAAATTGGTGTTAAGTTATTCATACATTCAATGTACTGAGTAATTTAGAATGTGACCCATATTTCAAAACATCCAGCAGCAAAAAAACAAGCAAACCCTCCAAGAGTCCTTTTACAGTTTGACTCTTATGTGTATCTTTAAACTATGCTATAACTCTTTAATTACAATAAGCTGATTTTTTTTATAACAGCCTGCTGTCTCGTTAATAACAAAAAGATTTAAAAAATATCTGGAGTTAAAATTTGCAGGCCTCTAGATATGATTAGAACTAATACCTAAGTTTGGCCTTTTTATGCAACCTGAGTAGATGAACTATTATACCAGAGGAATATCTGGTTTTGCAACAAGGCAATTCATTGTGCCACGTAAATAGACTTCCACATTTACAGAAGGCAGAACTGAACTTTGATCTCTTCTTATGTTCTCAAGGTGTTTTAATGAAGGCAGGCATACAGTAGTAGCAGTAACCTAATTCTGTTAGTCATCTTAGAGCAAAACATAAAATTGGATGCAAGGCATAGATGAATTCAGCAGTGTTATGATATAGGTAGACTAGACAGCTAGCTGTCATAATTTAATGACTACCTGCCATAAATGGGAGTTCAGGCTGTCAGATGTCTTCCAGCATTGTTGACTCCTAATGCAAGCTGGAAATGTACCCTAGAATCCTCTGCAGTATTTCAAGAGATTTTCAAGTGAACTTTCTGTTCATATGCAGCTACTGAAGCTTTGCACTGATTCTGGCATGGCTGATCCCTTATGTAATCCAATAATGTGGTGAACAGGCTATCCAAATCATCAGGAACAAATTTTTAAGTTTTTTTTCTAGGATAAAACCACTCTAACCCAGGGCTTATTGTCATGTGGATATGTTGTTCTATATAGGAAGGAAAAGGGAATTTTTATGATATTGCAGTGTATAAATTGATTTAACAATATCCAGAGTTAAATTGCTAGTAGATTCTGGAATCAGCAAAATGTGCTACTGAGGCATTTTAAATACAGTAATGAAGTTCCCTAAGATTGTAGCTGCTCTTCTATTATAATTTTGCACTGTTTTTTCCTCCACTATTCGTTTTCCATGATGAATTGCAATAACCGGATTATAAAATTTGCCTTGTTTTGGGAAAGAGCCAAAGGTTCAAGTTACATCAGATTTTGGTTCCAGGAACTAAATACAACAGTTTTGCTAGTGGCCTTACCAGACAATGCAAGCCTTTGTGGTACAAGAAAAAGTGGAGGGGCATATTCTCTTCATCTGTGTTACGATCTCATCACCAAAGTATACACTTTTATTACCAATGGACTGTACTGTGGTTATTTTACCAGAATATAGCTCATGATTGCATAATAGTGTTCACCTCTGAGCTTGGTTGTTTTCCTTCAGATGTTTTCGTTTTTGTTATCAAACTAGGTAACATCCTCAATGCTAGAAGGGAGTGGGGTTTGCGCTCTATTTATTTACAGTGTTAGTAAGGGTAACTTACTACGGTAACTTACTTCCTTAGTAGTTCCTTTTTCTTTTGCTGCTTGAGTTGGTAGTTTCTTGATTGTTGACTACTTATTAGGTATTAATCCTATTTTCAGTACGTTATTATTTGTATAGGCATAAGATTAGGGAAATTCATTGAGAGTTAAAATAAAGGTTCTTGATAGAATTATTCTTTCTATTCTATTCAAATCCCTTGTAATGAAGACATAGAAAAGGGGAGATAAATACCTACTGTAAGTTAAAGATAAATGTAGGTCCAAGCTAAGCAGAATTCCATTTAAGAGCCCTGGTGGCGCAGTGGTTAGATGCAGTACTGCAGGCTGATTCTGGATTCCCACTGCCAGGAGTTCGATCCTGACAGGCTTAAGGTTGACTCAGCCTTCCATCTTTCCGAGGTCAGTAAAATGAGGGCCCGGATTGTTGGGGGCAAATATGCTGACTCTGTAAACCACTTAGAGAGGGCTGTAAAGCACTGTGAAGCAGTATATAAGTCTAAGTACTAAGTGCTATTAAATTTAATAAAAGGATCATGCCTGAAATTAGTACAATTTATACAACACAGGTAGGTCCTTGACTTACAACAGTTCATTTAGTGACCGTTTGAAGTTACAACAGCACTAAAAATGTAACTTATGACCATTTTTTCACACGACCATTGTACCATCCCCATGGTCACATGATTTACATTCGGATGCTTGCCAACTGGTTCATATTTATGATGGTTGCAGTGTCCTGGGTGTCAAGTGATCATCTTTTGCGACCAATGGGGAAGGCAGATTCACTTAACAGCCATGTCACCGATTTACAACTGCAGTGATTCACTTAACAAATGTTGCAAGAAAAGTCGTAAAATGGGGCAAAACTCACTTAGCAACATCAATTCTGGGCTCAGTTGTGGTCATAAGCCGAGGACTACTTGTATCCGCAAGTAAGTAAGTATAGAACTGCAACTTTATCTAACCTTCAGTTTCTCATTTTCCTAGTAGAAAGAAAGCTTGGCTAACATTACTTTTTCATTGCTGTTCAATTGGTTGCTTGCTCCAATTTCTGTTGTTTTCTGGATGGTGCTAGGAAGTACAAATAAGCAACTGGTAACATGTAGTTCCACATGTTTAGCAGATGGACTGAATTTGTTGAAGCATAGGTGGAACTAGGAAACTCTGCATAGATGCTTTTAACTTTCAAACACAAGAGTCTAAAGCCCCCATCTAAAAGCCATTGATTTAGCATTCTTTGCTTTGAGTTTGCTTTGCTTGCATTGCGTAATTTTGTAATATGCTACTGTTCCCAAATGTGGGCTGGTTTCAGTACTGAGTATTTTGATATGTGAAGACAGCTGGCCATCAGTAAACAAATGGCAAGCAGGAACCCTTTAGGATTATGTGGGCAACTACTTTGAAGAAATTAGAACTTGCCACATGTAGTTTTTTCCTTTCATGTATGTATTTGTTTTATCTTTGAAGATTAACTGATTTTATAACTCATCATGTAGCCACAGGGGACCCTGCCTTTAACCTAAACTATGTCCCAGTTAAGACATCTGTATGGGATTTTTAAAGGTAAATTCAGGAGCAAATCTTGGGACTTGATGATAAATAGTAGAAACTGTTTTTTTCTGCTTGGTGCGTGTGTTCATTGTCTCAATATCTAGATATAATTGTTTCCCAAAAGCGATTGCAGTTGGAGATCAGAATATATATATAAAAAGAGAATTGGTGATCAACTATTTATTGTTCTTAAAAAGAGAATTGTATATTTTTTATATTTATAGAACTCGGTGTCTGTCTGCAAAGGCCATGGAGAAGAGTTTGGAAAACAATTTCAGCATCAGCTTTCTGAATCCATTGGTAATCTTCTTTAGAAAATCTGCCAAGTGTCTGGGCCATCTCCCTCTAATCTATGTATTTGTCTGCCTCAGTGCCCTCTCTTTATGTACAGGTGAGATTTTATGCTCCTTTCTGAGATACTTACAATTGTGAATTAATAAGGATTTATCAATCTGTGCAATGTAAACCTATCTGATTTATGTTCTGTGAATTGTTATCAATGTAAAGCTTGTGAACACCCATTGCTAAGAGGGACATTGTAGGAGGAAAGCCATGTTAGTCTGTTAGTAGTCAACAATCAGAAGTATCTGCTAGCATCTTGTTACAGTAAGAAATGTTATTAAATGCATATACATATGTTTTTTAAAGTGAGCTGTTGTTCCTGAAAGGTGTTGCCTTTTAATAAATATTGTAAATATGACTGCAATCTTGAATATCATTATCTTGGAAATTGTCTCTTGAGATACTTTTAGTTAGACATAGAGCTTCCCACATTATATGATTTTTAGCCAAAGTTTGCTAAGTTGGCACTTTATCTACCTACGCCTTCGGACCATCTGTGTGCTCTGAGTTTTCACACAGTGTTTTTTCTCCTTTTGAAATACAAAGCTCTAAATGAGTGTGTCTGTTTTTTGTGAGCGTTTGGACGCACCTCTTCCAATATAAAATACATGGCAAATGATGCCAATTATATATGTTGTATGTGCTTAATATGTAGTGCTTTTTTATTCCACATACTTTTCTTTCCAATAATATATACATATATACATACATACATTTTTGTATGTGTACACACACACACACCATAGCACAGGGGTTGTCCTATGTGCCACACAAAACTCTGATGAGGGGCTATAGGGATATGTAAGATTGTTTTGGAGAGAAATAGAAAAGGTAAATACTTAATAGAAAATATTTAACTTTCAGATTAATTCCAGAATCTTAGAAAGATACCACAGACACTTGCTACCCTCTACATTCTCATATAAATGATTTTGATATAACTAAGAGTAAAAGCTTTAAGACACATAGGAAATATTGGGAAATTAGATGAAATATCTAAATAAAAGTTGTTAACAAGTTCTTTTAGTAATGATAAGGACATTGTACAAAACTGTAATTAGTTATTAAGGAGCTGCAATGATATGATTCAGGAATAGAATTAAAATGGCTGAATAGTTGTGTTTCACTCAAGATTCTTGATAAGAACATCCTTATATAATGCCATTGGGTTCAAAAACTCATCTGTAAGCTGTGAAAATGGCCCTGAAAATGGGAGCTTGTATCACATGTTGACTTAGCAGGTACTTCTCAGTGGGAGAAAGCTTTCTCTTTAAGCAGTCAGAGAAGACAGATCAATGACTCAGGGGGAAAAAAGAGAAGGAGTTCTAGTATCTAGCCTTTATTTGCAGGGTAAAATAAAAAAAAGAGGTATTGCAAAGAGAATTTTGGAGAATAGGTCAATTTTATGGCCTATGGAAAATTGCTAGGACAGCTTGTTAAGCCTTTCTTAGTACAACAATTTATCTTAATTTTATCTCATCATTTTATCTTTTTCAAAAATATTTCTTTTTTTAAAAATATTATCAACTGGAAAACTAGTATCTTTAAAGAAATATCTTTTAAACTGTTATATGGTAAAATGTCTCTTTTCCTCCCAACCTCTAATAAATTATCTGGTGTCTTTTTTGACATTTGGTAACTGGTAAAATTGATTAGTTGATATGCAGTAAGTGAGTCATTGATCTTTAGCGTTGCACATACAAAAAACAGTTGATTTTAAAGTCTCTTCAATTTATTATCTTTATTTTTGGTTGGGATACACAGTAAAAGTAGAAATCACAAATTATTTAGTTTGAATTCTCTTTGTTTCTTTGAGATTAGTTTTCTGTTTCCTAAGTTCCACAAAATTAAGTTTCAGCGCTGTCTTTTTTGGGTATTTTTAATTTTTTTTTTACAGCAGTTAACATATTTCAGGAATATTCTAAATCCAGAACTAAGACACAGTTGAGGGAATGAATACCATGTTCTACAATGCTATTGCCTGGTTCTCAAGGATGTTGTTTGTACTAAAGAGTTGTCCTAATTCTTATCTTGCAAATATACTTTTCCTTGTTTTCTTCCATTCTTCCCCTTCTGCTGTTAGCGGTTAAACTTTTGTGGGGGAAACGTTGACAACATTATGGCCTTGTTTCATATTTACAAAAAAAAATAAATCCTTAACAATGACATTTTTATTCCAGATCACCATGTTCCAAATTTTGTGCACATTTCAAAATATATACCAAAAGTTTTCTGACAAGCTAAGCTGGGAAACTTTTATAAAGTTTCATAATTCTTTTTAAATTACTTCACTTTAGAAGGGTTTCTCTAGCAGATTGTACTGGCACAGTCTGTCTCAACCTCTCTCCTTTCAAAATGAATAAATGTATTCTTCCAACAGACAAACGTCTGTTCCTTCCTGGACAACTGGATGTTGTCTAGCGCTTAGTGTATTGCATATTAAAAAGTCCTGATTGTATTCAAATAGGGATGTGATTCTAAATTGCTAACATCAGTATTTTTCCAGTTGGTTCCTCTTGAAATGAAATATACTTATGTGAAGGAGGAATTTATTAATATGCCCAACTGATTTTCCCTCTCTAAGCTGATTGTATTTTAATCTAGAATTAATATAAGAGTAATAACATAGGGTGAACTATTATCATTATCCCAGTGGTATCCAACTGTGATCTCTGCCCTGGGCTGAGTACAAGTGATGCTATAAAGGTGCTTACCCAGTGTCTGGAGGCTGTGAGGGTCTTAGTGGAGATGAAAAGGTTGGGGACTCTAACAAGAGTGATTCCTCTAATTCTTGAGCTCGACAGAGATGGTGCACAATCTGGGGGTCATCCTCGATTCACAACTTCTGCTCAAGGACTAAATGGCAACATAGGGACTTTGCATTGACCCATCTTGTGTGCTAATTGTGCCCGTTCCTGGATCAGGAGGCTCTGCACACAGTCACTCATGCCACAGTCAATTCCCATCTGGATGATTGCAATGTCCTCTGCCCTTGAAGACTATACAGAAGCTTCAAATGGTTTAGAATGCAGCAGTGTGCAGAGTTTTGGATGCAATAAAGTTTGACTATGTAACACCTTTGATTTGTGTGCTGCACTGGCTCCCTGTAGGTTTACAGGTACACGTCAAGATGCTGGTTGTCACCTTTAAAGCCCTATGTGGCATAAGGCCAAGATACTTGCAGGACTGCTTATTGCAATTGTTTCTGCCCATCTCATCAGATTTGGCAAGGTTGGTGTGGTCTGGGTCCTTTCAGAAGAACAGTGCCATCTCGCAGGACCCAGGAGATACGTTTTTTCTGTGCAGTGCCTGTTCTGCTCCCAGAGATCTGAATGGCCTCAATCCTGTTGGTCTTCTGGAAGGCTGTAAAACTCTGGCTTTTCCTGGAGGCATTAAGCTGGGTTTTTAATTGATCCCAGTAGAGGTGTATATCATAATTATAATTGAAAATGAGTAAGAAGCCTCTGATAGGTAGTATACATTTGTGTGCAGGTTGTGCATTCATACTGGCAGATGAGGCTCTTATGTAGACCTCAGTGCTTAAAAGATTATGTAGACCTTAGTGCTTAAAGGTATCTCTCCTTTAAGGGCTATGTTAAAGCTGTCATGTAATCTGTAGAGATTTTGTGATGTAACTCTTTAATAGACAAGCTTACTTCCTGCTTGGTGATTATTCAGGAAGGCTAACATGCTATTATGTGATCACAGCATATTAAAGCAAGCAAAACTGCTTTAGTTTGAGAAGCTTCTAAAGCATATTGAGAGTTTATATAAGAAATTAAATACTACCGTATTATAGTTCAAGCATAAGGCTTGAAAATCAGTCACTTCACTGGTGGAGTAATAAGATATAGTTGAACATTAATTCACAGAGTCCTTTACACCAGTCATCCCATCCTGATGATCTCATCTATGCAGACTTCAACTGTATAAATGTGTTAACTTTGCTTCTGGTGCTTATTAAGCACCTTTTTCAGGGAAGGTTGCCAAGACCAGAGAAAATTTCAGAAATTTGTTTTATAATATGGCTTTATTATTTGTAGCTTAGTATGTTGTTTCAGCCAAAACAAAACAGAAAAAAAAATACTCTGATGTGGCCAAATAGTTAAAAAGTTAAGATGTTGGAATAGGGGCAGAGAAACTCAGGTTGAAGTCCAGCTTTAGGTACAGAAGCCAGCTGGGTGATCTTGGGCCAGCCATTTACTCTCATCCCTAATCAGCATCAACTCTGGAACAAGCCAGGTGAAAAACAACCCCCTTGTTGCTTCATGCATTGATAAATTTCAATGCAAGAGCACAGTGCAAAACAAACTGGAATTTAGTGAGACAAATGCTAGCATAAGCACAACAGATAATGGCCACAAACCGAAAACTTTAAAATTAAGTATTTTAAATATGAGGCAGCTGGCAAGAAAATATAATTAGGAATATTTTGCTTTGCCCAACTATATTCAGAAGTTAAATGCTCTTCCTTTCATTTCCTCCCTACCGTTCCTTTTTCAAGCTGGCAAGAATATTGTGTCCTCTTTTTAATTACACTGTAATGAATTGTTAGGGTGCTTGACAGATTAATCAATGCAATTGGCAAATACAACATCTTGTAAGAATTTAAATTGTTCTTTGCTGCAAGTTAGATTTGCCCCAATGTGTGCTGGGGCCCTGGTGTGAGAGATCTCTAAAGAGCTTTTGCAATAAATTCTGGCTGTCAGTTCCCCCAATGTTAAGAGCACTCATTTGTTGTAGTTCTGCTGTTGTCTTTTAGGTGAATTTTGAAGACTGACTGATTTCCTCCCTCCCTCCCTCCCTCCCTCCTTCCTTCCTAGTTTTGAAAAGGTTATGACCAACTGAATAATAATAACAAATTTAAACACACTATAGCATACTATAGTCAAATGCTTTTCATTACTTTTTTTCATCCTTAAAATAGTTCTATAAGATACGGATTTGGCATTTTTGTCTGCCTATCAAGTCCTTCCCACAGACAGATAACCATTCCCAATGACCTGGAGTAGACAGATGTTGATGTATAAGGTGTTAGAGTTATTGTCA